ATAGGCTGAACAGCAGAATGGCGATTACAGAAGTAAAAGACTGTGAACTTGAAAAGAGAACACCATTACCCAAACTAATGAAGAGAAAGGAAAAAAATATGATTAGAAAAAATGAAGAGTCTCAGAGAGCCATAGAACATTATCAAAACTCAAAATGTGTGTAATTGGAATCTCAGAAGATGGAAAGAGGATAGGGCAGAAAAAAAAATAGTGACAGGAATTTGGAATATACTGTTGTACATACTCTTCAATATTCAATAAACATACATAAAATTCAGCACATATACACTTGGGCAGCTCACAGTCTATAAGATTCATGTCAAAAGAAGAAACTGTAAACAGATTACTAAACTTTTTTGAGTATTTAGAGGGAAGCATATTGATGTCTTCAATTTACTCTAAAATGCATTCCCCATCCCTCACCAAAAAAAAAAAAAAAAAAAAAGCGGGGGGGATTAATAATGTGTAGAAGACCAGGTAGGTGAATAGACATGTGATAATAACAAGTACTGAAAATGCTAATATGAGAATTTATGTGGTAAACACACAGGTAGGTACTCACTGTTAAGTTCTTCCAACTTTTCTGTAAGTTTAAAATTTTTCTAATAAAAATTTGAGGGGGAAAAGTCACTGGTGGAGTTTYAGTGGAATAATACAAATTATTTTTAAAAGTTACATATTGTTTCATCCTMTCTTCATTAGTTCCTGGCCTCTACAACATAAGCCAAATATCAGCCAATATCAGGTAGCTACTTAGTCTGGGAGACAGACTGGTGAAGAAACAAGGGAAGGAAAAAGGACTACCTGGCTGTTTCCTTATTTCTCATTGTACCAATTTTTAGAAAGTGGTAGATGAGAAACTACTTGTTTTTATGTTTACTGATCAAATACAGAATAATTCCTTTATTTTTTATTTCTAGATATGTGAAAGATTACTGAGATGTATGTTATTCTTRTTTTAAAACACCAAATCTATATACAAATGCATTACATGTGATCAGATTTCATACTGGGACCCTTCAAACACASTACACATTCAGTTCTTCTACAGAAAGAGCAAAACACATAAAAACAAAATATATAATTTTAATATAAATTTTGTATTAAAGATAAAAGAGTAAAATAACATCAATGACAGTATTTAAAATGCTGYATGTTAAGTTTTAAATCCTGCTATTTTATTATTTACCTTCAAGTTCTTCCAGATGAGAAGGAGTTCCTTGTGCCCTGGGCTGAATATAAGATAACTTGAACTTAGGCACCACAAATGGTACTTCTTTGCCATGAGAGGGTATTTTGGAAAGCAAATAATCCTCAGTACAGCCAACCTGAGGCTTTACAGAAACAGAAGTCAACGGAGGTATACAGATAGTGGTAGTCTGACTATTTGAGACTGCTGCTTTACTGTCTCTTTCCACAGAAACTGCATATAAAAGAAAAAAGAAAGGTAGAAAAAAAGTCACAAATATGAATCATATTACATATAATAATCTAAACCTAGAAATTTCTGACACATAAACTACTCTTAGGTCCTATAAGCACTTCCAGAATCTATGTTAATTTTGASGGAAGTCTAGTAATTAATACACTATTGCTAAAGTACATTATCACATCATAATGGTTAAAAGTAGTTTTTAAAGATTCATTCCTAATAAAGTTCATTGATGAAAAATAAGTTTATTTTGTAGTTGATTTCATAACTCTTTCAAGTGAAAATCTAGYCATTTAAAAATGGGTTTCATGGGAGGCGAAGGGAAGGGGCAGTGGGTTAGCAATGATGGTGGAATGTAATGGGCATCATTATCCAAAGTACA